TTGGGGAGGTAGTTCCAGGATTCTGATTCAGTGACAAGGAAAGACCAGCAATATATTTCCAAGTCAGGATGGTGCATAGCTTGGAGGGGAACTTGCAGGTAATGGGGCTCCAATGTATCTGCTGCCCTTGTCCTTTTAAACAGTGGGTATCATGGATTTGGACAGCCTTGGACAAGGCTGTCTCAGCAGCCTTGGTAAATTTCTGCAGTGCACCTTGTCACTGGAACACTTTGCTGCTAATTAGTTTTGGTGGTGAAACAATTGAATGTTTATGTGTCAATTAAGCAGCTGCTTTGTCCTGAATGGTATCAAGCTTCGAGTGTTATTGGAATTGCACTCCCAATTAAATGGGGAGCATTCCATCACACTCCTGTCCTTGTGCCTTGTATGTAGATGATAGGCTCTGGGGCTTCAAAAGGTGAGTTACTAACCTCTCACTTGCTCTTATAGCCACTGCAGTGATATGACTGGTCTAATTCAGCTTCTGGTCAATGGTAACACCAAGATTAGTGGGAGATTCAGTGATGTTAATGCCACTGAACAGTAAGGGTCAATGGAAAGATTCTCTCTTGTTGGAGATGATTATTTCCCGGCAATTATGTGGAACAAATGTTACTTGCCACTTGTCAGTGCAAACCTTCAACATGAGCAATCGCAAATGGTGCTGAACATTGCTCAATCATCAGCAAACATTCCCACTTCTGACCTTATGACTGAGGGAAGGTCATTGACGAAACAGCTGAAGATAGTTGGACTAAGAACACTACCCTGACGAAGTCCTGCAGAAATGCCCTGGAGCTGCGATGCCTGACCTCCAACTACTTCCTTTGTGCCATGCACGACTCCAACCAGCAGAGTTTTCCCAGATTCTCCTAGTTCCAGTTTTGCTATTGCTTTTTAATTTCACATTTAGTCAAATGCAGCATTGATAAAGGGCAGTCACTTTCACCTCACCACTGGAATTCAGCTGTACTGTGTTTGAACTAAGGCTGTAGTAAGATCAGGAGCTGATAATATGTAAATATTGTTTCAGAATTATGGATGAACACAATAATTCACACTCGCTTTATCTGAAGCCAGTAGTTGCACATCAAGAGCCCAGACAAAATTAATTTCACAATAAGTGAAAGAGAAAGAAATGAATTTAATGTTGTACTAATAAGGAGCCATTTTGATTATAAACCATTACCATACCCTTGTTGTTTTTACAACTAGTCTCAGTTGTCAAAAATAAACTAGATACATCTAAATCAGAAGCTGAAGTGTAAATTAGTTTCAAACTGGGCAATACAAATGCCTCATGGCCATGTAGCAGTTACAAAGAGGCTTTCATTCATTCTGAGCCTTGGGCCTTCAAACCACTAGGTATGTGCGGGCTTGCTCTGTAGCTTCCATCTTTCCTCGAAATTACCCATGAATTATCTAATATTTCAACCTGCAAAAGTACATCCAACAATCCCACAGAAGTACAGGGATTGATATTTGTTGGAAACTACTAGCTGGCATTCTGAATAAATGATTACTTCTACCCTCTTCCACTGTAATTTTCATTTACGGGGGGCAAATAGCATTGAAGCAAGAAGGGAAGTTTAAGTAGGAACTTAGGAAGGAGTGAAGGAAACAGAAAATGAGAATAAGTTGAGGTAATGCGGAAATAAGAAATGGATATGAAGAGGGTGAAATGATGAATTGAGGAAGGAATGAGGGTGCAGGAAGCTTTGGCAGGACCACCAAGAAATGCACATTAGATAAAGCAGACAGAGAAGCATCAAGCTGTACAGGAAGAAAGTGGACAAAAGGGGCCAAATGTGAAGAACAAAAGAACAATGAATGAATGTGCAATTATTTGGCATTTTTTCATTACTTCAAGATGTCTCAAAACTCTCTGCAGCCAATAAAGAAACATTTGGAATGCAGTCACTTTTGTAATTTAGGAAACAAACCAGCCAATTTGTGCATAGCATGCACGCCTAATTATCAATGTGATAATGATCAAATAATTTGTTAGGTACAATTCCATGCTCTACTTTGAATAGCACCACAGGCCCTTGCATGTCCAACAGAGAAGACTAACACAGCCTTGGTTTAACATCTCCACATAAAACCATCTTTGGCAGCGCAGCATTTTCTCAGTAACATATTGCTTTGTCAGTTTAAGAAAAGCATTTCACACCTAGCCCTTCCCGTACCCTTTTACTTATCTTCAGCAATGCCTTAGGAAATCATGGAGATGGTTGATTGAACATATTGCTCTCTCTATTAGTATGACATCAAGTCAATTGACTTAAAGCCTTTAAGCAGAACTGGTCTTGGTATGTGATGCTCAGAACAATCCATTCATAAAATCACAAATTCAATGCAATGCTTTGACTTCTGATGGGTTATGGTTATTATGATACATTGAAGTTACCTCTGTGCATGACACGCCGAGAATGCATGTGTTCCAATGCACTGCAGAGTTGCACAAAATACTTCCATATTGTTCTCTCTGGAATCAGCCGCTTCTGTTTCTTAAAATGCTGTGAAAATATCAAACAATGAATCAAAATCAGCACTAACAGAATTGAAAAATCTATAACATTATTAATTCCACAGAATCACAAATCATTTGCCCCATCGTGTCTGTACTGGTTCTCTGAATTATCATTATACTCTCAGCTCTTCTCCTGCCCTTTCCTCATAACTTCACACAATGTTTTTATTTAATGCTGTCTTTGAAATTAAATTTGAAACTAAACACAGAAAACATACAATTTCGGATTGCAGTTCTTCATAGAAACGCATGGTATAAAGTGGGACACTGTTTGGAAATACTAATAACTTGAATCATATTAAACCTTCTGGAAATCCAGTTTAACTAACAGCAAATGCTGACCAAGAGAACGACTGTCATTGGGTTTGAAAATAAACTGTGGATGCTAGAAATTTGAAATAGAAACTGGAGGAAGTCAGCAAGTCTGGCAGCATCTGTAGAGAGAATGCAGAGTTTATGTTTCAGATCCAATGACCCTTCTTCTAGTTTTACCAGAGACAACAAAACAACTTAAAGAAATTAGATACAAAATTGCTGGAATTTTGAATTGTCAGGGCTGTTGAATCCTGAGGGAAAGGGAGGTTGTTCAATGTGTGTCTTGCTCATGATAATCCTAAACAGAAGGCATGGTGGGAGCAGAGCAGTGGTGAGGCACACTACAATTCGACTAAGCATAGTGTGAAGTGATTGAACCCAACTAGTGAGTTGGGAGAAACCTTTGGACTGCCGTCTAATAAGACTTGTGTGCCTGAAGAATGCCATAAAGTTAGAGAAATTTACCTTTTTCTTTAAAACCAATGTAACATTTGCCTATTAGCTAATATTTGAATTATTTTCATTTTAACAGGTTATTACTGTAAAAGTCTTAGAGTGAAACCTTGTCCTCTGTTATTTCAATAAGTCATTTGCGAAGTTCATTGGTCTCTACAGGGATCTTCAGTTACTCATAAGATAGACTTGCTGCTCCGCTGAGGAGCAGGAAAATCAATTTATTTACTTGTGTAAGTATATTGGTCTTCATGCACTCCTCAAATGCCCAAAGTTGCAGAATAGTTAAAGGGCATGGAAATTCCTTCCTCTGGCATTCGCCTCCCAAAAGACAGCTTTAATTTTTGTGCTCACTTCTTAAATTTTATAAAAGCTCTGCGTGGAAATTGGGGGGTAGAAGTTGCCTTTGGTGTGGACTCTGTCTTCAGAGATTACAGGTATGGAAACCTATTTATCCCATTTTATGCAGAACATTGTTGAGTCTCCAATTTGACATGCTATTGGTTCTTAAATTATTGCAGTAGCCAAATCACATGTTAACTTCTTTTTACGAACAAAATCTTTCTGTCATCTGTCACAAATTTGACTGTAATAATTTCAAGTTATGAACATATAAAAAGGACAGGAACAAATCCTTTGGTCCATTAGGTCTGTCTCAACTGGTAGCCCCTCATTCTACCCTCACTGTTTTAAGCTAATAGTCTACATTTGTTCCTTAACATCATTTACAATTCAAATAAATATGCTAAATCACCTTCTTTCAAGGCTGAAATATCCCAAACTTATTCAGCAATTTTAATTATAAATTCATTACACTGTTTTCAATAGCTCAGACCTTAACGATGAGGAATTGGCTTTATGGTTCTTTACTGCACACTTAAAAGTCTCCCTTGTGCTGACTGGCCAGAGCAGTACAATGTAATCGAGGTGTGCGCTCAAGACCACTGTAACATTTACTCAAGTATTCCAACTGGATCATTTACTGCTGTAGCTGCGCAGTTGAAAATGTAGTTTTCTGTATCTTTTTTCTAAGCTTCCTCTGAGTGTAACCATTTTCCCTTCCAGCTTGGAACACTTCACATTTCATCTACCATTGCTTTTCTCACTAAGATACTCCATTCAATTTATCCTATCATCCTGGGCTCCATCCTTTGATCCTAAATTAGGTATTAGTGACAAAAAAACCCCAACTTACACTGATAGCAATTTGAAACAGCCAGGATTTCAACAAATCTGAATGGTCACTGGACCCAAAATATTAATTCTGATTTCTCTCCACAGATGTTGCCAGACCTAATGAGATATTTCAGCAATCTCTGTTTTTGTTTATGATTTCAACAGCAAACCCTGGGCAAGCCATACGATTCTCTCTAACACCCATACCTGGGCTACCTCATGTGGTTCTCTTCAACATCTATGCTGGGGACACTCCACTCGGTACCCTCTATCCACATCCTGAATATTTGCCAATGTTGCAGGGTTATCATTGCCAAGGTATACAGTTATAAGGACCAAAACTGCTTAAGACTGTATGCAAGCCATTTTGACAGTAGACTCCTGTGTGCTTAAAGTAGAAGTGTTGGGATATATTTTAAAAAATGAATAGAAGAGACAAAAAAGAATCAAGTAAAAATGAACCTCAGTACGAACAAACACAAGAAAACTATTTTGTTTTCATTTTCAGTAATATATTTTGCTGAAACAAACCCACAGTCTGTATCGGAAATGTTGATCAACCTGGCCTTCTTTAAAGGAATATGACACGAGGTTACAAAGAACTGACAACTCTAAATGATGAGCAAGAAAACCTTAAGAATTCGACACCTGGCCTTCTATTAAGATATAATAAATGTCAGGAAGGGTTAAATATTGTTTACTTGTGCTGTAAATGCCTAAGGAGTCACAGTGGCAGAGTTATATATAACTCTAATACAAGAAACGGACTGTGATTAATGCATTTAAATATTAGTATCTGCAGAATGTTGAAAACTTTCCAAATTTCATTTTGCTTTTCATTCAGAAGAGATATACCAGACCAAGGAAGTCAACTCAAAATTGTCCTTCCAGATGTTTTCAACTTTTGGTCTACGTGCAAATTGTTGGTCAGCTGCTGTGATTTTTCAAATGTAATTTGAAGTAACAAAATGTTGGCATCCATCCAAAATGAAGCTTTGCATCTATTCTTCCCAAAGCTGCATTTACATATCAGAGGTTTGTTTGATGTCAGGATGGTAAGGATATGAAACAGCTTTCCTTTCAGAAACATATTGTATTCTATACAATACACAAAGCAAACTGAAAATATGTTTTTAATATGTAAAAATTGACAGTACTACTGAATTAGGAAGGATTTCAGTTAAAAAAAACACACACAAAAATAATTCAGAGGAATACAAGAAATAAAGCAAATATCCGTATTTAACACAACATTGCATAGAAGAGGTTTAATGGGATTAGCAGTTTATGGATTAAAGTTAGCATTTGCAAGCCAAGATGCACTAGATATCATTTCAAGGTGATTCTACAGCAGTGTATCCGAAAGGTACAAACAATAGCAGGTTAAATATTTTACAACAACCGCAACTGCAATAAAATAGATGGAAACAAATACTGATGGCTGACTTGCTCAAATTTTATTTTGGGCATGATATCAATAGAGCAATGACAAAGAGATTTAGTTCACTGCGAGAAAACACAAATTTAAAGATTAATGTTAGAGACTTAACTACTGCAAAATAACTGCTGTTAATTAACTGAACATCATTCACTTGGTTTGAGCCTAATATTGGTGTACTGTGGCTCCAATTAAGCACACCTGGATTTGCCCAATACGTTATTCACAACACTGACTGTAGTAACTGGGATTCAATTTGAATGCAAGTAATATTCTTTTTGAGTGCAGGCCTAGAATTAATTTCACTGCAGATTTCATGCACAAAATTATACTTTTAAGCTTGTTTTACTATACTTAAAGGCTTGCACTCCTGCTGGTTATTTTGATGAACTGTAATATTTTTGCTAATATGATGTCTGCCATTTTCATAAATTTAGAAGTCAGAAGAGCTGGAAAACTTCTCCCACGTGATTATGGATTTATGTAAACAGGAGGCATTCTGAATGCACTTTACTACACATGTAATGGAATTTACAGCCAGATTTTATTTTCTTTTTCATCCACACTGGCAACTGCTGCACTGGGCTCTTGAAGTTTCAAAGTATGCAGAAAAATATTATTCACAGATCGGAGTTTTGAGAACCATGTATTTTCCTACCAAATGAAAAAAGGAACACAAGAGTGTCGTAACAAGGCCCAGCAGCATCAGAGGAGCAGGAAAGCTGACGTTTCGGGCCCAGACCCGTCTAGGCCCGAAATGTAAGCTTTCCTGCTCCTCTGATGCTGCTTGGCCTGCTGTGTTCATCCAGCTCTATACCTTGTTATCTCAGATTCTCCAGCATCTGCAGTTCCTACTATCTCTGAAACAAGAGTGTTGTACATGTGTTGTATACTCTCTAAGCTTTAACATTGTTTTTTTTACAAATAAAGATGACAAAACTCAAATATAATACTGTATACAGATTTCTACAGGCCATGAAACAAAATGGTGGGGAACTTATTTTAAGAAGCTTTTTAAAAGAAAATACTGCAGTTGTAATACTTAGAGCCGCTTAGAGATTGAGGTTATGGAAATAATATTGGAGAACCAGGAAATGTCACAAGATGTAAACAATACTTCGCATCTGTCCTAATGGAAGAGGAGACCAACAGTATTCCAAAATTACTAAATACTCAAGGGGCTGAGGGAGAGGGGTGAATCAAACACAATAAATATGATAGGAGAACAAATACACAAGGAAACAATAATGAAACAAATGGAGCTAAAGGTTCACAAGCCTTGGAGCTGATGGGTTGCTGCATAGGATTTTAAAAGGAGCTGCAGAGATACTGGATGCACTGCTAGTAAGTTTCCAAGAATTCTTAGATTCTAAAAAGTCCCAGACGATTAGAAACCTGTCAATATAACATCTTTATTCATAAAAGGGAAAGAAAAAAAACAGGAACGTTAGAGTTTATTTCAAAGAATATAATAACAGAGCATTTTGTAACACATAACGTAATCAAGCAAAATCAGCCTGTTGTCATTAAGAGGAAATTAAGCCTAACAAATTTATTACAGTTCTTTGAGGTGGTAACAAGTAGGGTAGAGAAAGGAGGACTAC